TTGTTCTTTTTTCAACCTTGTCTTAAATAATACAAAGAATGAAAGCTCAGTGAGAGACACTTGAACGCAGAACTTATGCTGTATGTAACATTAACTACCACAATAACCATCTACCAGAAATGAAGGGACATTGGAATATTTGCATTCTTCTTCACTTCCGAGTGGAGTAGATTTCTGAAAGCATATGATGTCCCCATCTTCAATCTGTAAAAGATAACATCAAACAGTTAACAAGTCGTAAATCTATGACAGCATCAAATTGAGTTAGTTCCTATAGCAAACACTTATTCACATATACCAAGAATGCAATAAATAAGCATTTTACCTAACTTATTTGCAATAAATAAGCATCAAATTGAGTTAGTTCCTATCAATGCGTTCGTACAAAATACAAAGCTCAAACCATACTTCCTGAATGCAATATATAAAATACTACTTTGGTATGCAATTTAAGAAAGCACAAAAATTGAAATGGGTAGTCCATATTGGTATCAGTTCTATTCACTGATATTTCCATTTTTTTTTTACCCATTCTTGGGTGAATTCTCCAATTATATTGGAAAATAAATACAAAGTGGCCCTTTTTCTGTGTATCATGTTATGTATAGTTTCTGTATATTTAGTTTTTTGTATTTCAATATATACACTTCTCAATGGAACTGCAAAATTGGGACAAATACCTATACTGCTGCATGGTACGAAACCAATCGTAATTGAGAAAGAAAATGTTCAAAAAATAAGTGTATTTGAGTATACTTTAATTCCTTCAATATATATGACTTACGGCAATTCAAATGTATAAATATGTAGACGAATGGATAAGGATCAGAGGGTTGCATCGGAAGAAGACCCCAAGATCGATTAACCAATTACCAAGCTCAGATTCAGAACCAAATAGTAGAGAAGGCGATTAACTTTATCAAGATGCAAACTTTTTTAGTTAGATTATCGCAAAACCCTAAATTGAATTCACTCTCTTTCCGAACCTTTACCTAACCTGCGAGAGAGAGAGGGAGAGAGAGAGAGAGGGAATTACTAGTTACTACGAGAGAGGGAAGAGACAGAGTAGGAGAGATGAGCGACAGGGAAGAGACGGACCGAGAGAGTAAGAGGGAAGAGAGACCTAATTTGTTTGGGAAAGTTTAAAAAGACCGCCTATTTTTCACAATTGTACTGGTATAATTTGGTTGACTTTGCGCATCGCATGTATGCATTATGACGTCGCGCAAAGTATTTTTGTACAACGAACCCACTATTACGTCACGCAAATTATATTTAAAAAAAATTATTATAAAATTTATTGAAAACTTGACTTTACTCCACAATAATATATTTTTGTAACAAAAATCCGATCCGAACTACAATAATAAATTTAAAGCTACTAAATAAATAAATATATATATATATATATATATATATATCATTCAATTTCTTAAATATTATACTTTCAAACTAAATAAATTTAAGAGTAAATTGTAGCCATGGTCCTTCAATTTTAATCAAATTGAAGCAATGGTCTCTCAACTTATCAAAATGTGTATCTATAATCCTTTTCATCAATTTCATCAAAATTTTGTCAAAATAAGTTATGTTGGAATAACCATTTATATAATTAGGGTCCCTCAACTCATCAAAGTGTGTAATTATGGCCATTTTCATCAACTACGTCAAAAATTTTGTCAAAACGAGTTGTGTTAGAATGACCATTACTACAAATGGGTTAAAATTAAGGGACAATTTCTCCAGTTGAATTAAAGTTGAGGGACCAATGGTAATGAATTTTTAGTTGAGGGACCATAGCTGCACGTTTTGATGAGTTGAGGAACCAATGGTAATGGATTTTTAGTTGAGGGACCATTGCTCCAATTGAGTTAAAGTTAAGGGACCATAGCTACAATATACTCTAAATTTAAAGCTACTTAATATATATATATATATATAGATATATATATATATATAGTATATATCATTCAACTTGATGGGATATGCATTCTACGAAACTAGTTTCAAAGATCCAACCATCAAACTTGTTTGTATATGCTTCGAGATCGCATACACTAAAAATTGTAAAAAACAAACATTCAAAGATCAAGTAATGAGACAAAAAATTTTGATGGTTATAAACGAAAAATCACGATTTAATAGTTATTTTAACTCTGATTTTGATGATTTTTTACAGCTACACTCCTTGGCCTTGTATGAATACAATGAATGAACTCGATCTTCAATTTAAAATATTTACACTAGTGGATACCACAAAATCTTATGCTATACTTAATGAAAGTATAAACAAACTCCTAAGTATTAGTGAATCTATTGTTTTGATGAGATACGCATTCTACGAAACTAGTTTCAATGATCCAACTGTCAAATTTGTTTGTATATGCTTCGAGATCGCATACGCATAAAATTGCAAAAAACAAACATTCAGAGATCAAGTAACAGGATAAAACTTTTCGACGGTTATAAACGAAAAATCACAATTTAACGGTTATTTTGACTTCAATTTTTTATAATTATACTCCTTGACCCTATATGAATACAATGAATGAACTCGATCTTCAATTTAAAATATTTACACTAGCATAAATAAACTCTTAAGTGTTAATGAATCTATTGTTTTTATGGGATACACATTCTACGAAACTAGTTTCAACAATCCAACCGTCAAACTTGTTTGTATATGCTTCGAGATCGCATATGCAAAAAATCGCAAAAAACAAACATTCTGAGATAAAGCAAACCTTTTCGACAGTTATAAATGAAAAATCACAATTTAACAGATATTTTAACTCTTTTGATGATTTTTTATAGCTACACTCCTTAACCCCATATGAATACAATGAACTAATTCGATCTTCAATTTAAAATATTTACACTAATGGATATACCACCAAATCTTTATGTTATACTTAATGAAAATATATATAAACTCTTAGTGTTAGTGAATCTATCGTTTTGATGGGATACGCATTCTACGAAGCTAATTTCAACGATCCAACCGTTAAACTTGTTTGTATATACGTTGAGATCGCATACGCCCAAAATCGCTAAAGAAAAAAAAACATTCAGAGTCAAGTAACGGGACAAACCTTTTCGACCGTTATAAACGAAAAATTATGATTTGCGTTACGAAGAAGTAACATGTGTTGCGCAAATTAGTTTTGTGCAACGTTGGAGCCTATGTCACGCAAAGTAATTTTGCGCGACGTAGGGACCTGCGTCGCGCAAAACTACTTTGCGCAACGCATGTTACTTCTTTGTTGCATAAACCTTTGTTTTTTTTGGCAAAAATATATTTTTTAATTTTTAATAAATATTGTAATTAAATTCTAAATAATAATTAATAAAACCAAGAAAAAGTATTTAATTATAAAATAATCACAATAATTACTAAAACTAAATAAAATAGATACAAAATATTAATATTTCTAAACTATAATGTTGATGGCCTTAGTTTTTACTTGTTTATACTAATTATATCATAGAATATACATATTCTAGTTAGTTACACTCGAGTAATTTTGGTGGTGAGATATATGTAGTGTTACAATATGAACACAAGTGTACATGTATTTTGGCTAGATATTGGTTTTAAAAAATCTTATTGAAAGATGTTTTGGTTGTCTTCAAGTTTACAAAGGATTGAGACTGAAAATGAATTTTGAATTACTTAATTGTATTAAAATTGGAAGACGATATGGATTTTCTACAAGGATTTAATAGGAGAAGCGTAGCCATCGTTTATCTACATAAATATGGCATATGCTCAAAAATCAACCCGCTCATTATTGAACTAAAACCTATTGTCTTAGCATTGAGAATTTAATAGTGAGGATAAGATTAGCTTTCAAGATCATGGTTTATGTTGGTTTTCTATATAATTCTTAATTACCTGCGGTGCATTGGATTTACCCTCAGTTCAACCGTATAGCACAAATCAAGGAAATTTCAAGGGGAAACCAAAATTTCTTACAATTTTTTCCGTCTAAATATATAAGTTAACCCCGATAAAGTATTCAAATGCTAATTCCAAATGAAGCCCAAACAAGTCTTCAACAATATATCTACAGTCTCACTCCTTTTAATAGGTAAAATTAATACTCCTTTTAATAGGTAAAATTAATAAAGATTACTTCAAAATTCAATCTCACAAAACTCCACCATTACCAAAAAAGGGTATAGCAAGTAGGCAAAGGTACATATACAAAAATCCCATATGCAATATGAAGAAAATACCTTCAAATTCGTTCTTCAATGATATTTGTATACAAAAATCATGTACAAAACAAATTTAGTAGTTTTAGTTTGAATTCTCAATTCAAAGTTACATATACAAAATCAAATCGCTTACCGGATAGGAATAGATCGAGGAAGGGAGAGGATTAGAGAAGTTTTTGAAGAGAGATAGGGGAGGGAGGTAGCTGTTGCAACTGGTTTGCAGTTTCTGCCTCCCAAACTGATTAACTTTGCGCGACGCCAATCTTCGTCTCGCAAAGCTATTTTTCGCGACGTGGATGCACCTACGTCTCGCAAAGGCCATTTGCGTGACGCCACCTGTTTAGCGTTGCACAAACATACTATGCGCAACAAAATTTGCTTCGTCGCGCAAGTTGTCGTCGCACAAACATGTTTTTGTACTAGTGATAAACAGTGTAGCAAGTTTCACAAATAGCATGTGTGATGACGTGCGGGTCTCGCGCATCAGCTTTTTTTTATATTAAAATGATGTCTTTTTCATTAAAATTTAAGTTTTTTTGTTCTTTTTATTAAAGTTTAAGGGTTTTTATTTTATTTTTTATTTAAGTTTTTTTCATTAAATAATTTTTTGTTAAAATAAATTTAGGCCAAACCTTTTTCATGAAAATTCCCTCATTGTTAAAGTTTTCCACTTAATACCATACATTAATTAGTTAAAAATATTTACTCTTAAACCCGAGATCTTATGTTTGATTCTCTTACCATCACTTGTATAAAACAAAAAAAACACATAAACGATATCCAAGTTCAAAGAGTTCATTTCCTAATTTAAACAACCATGAAGCAAATATTCACCAACACCATCTTGTTCTAGTTATAACTCAAAACAAACTTCTAACGTTTAAACTTCAGAAGACAAAACGTCGCTTAAAAGATGTTCTGATTTTTCTGACAAACAGAACGGATCCTCTCTGAATCTTACTCTTCTTTCAGCAACTCAAATGGTTTCCGTCTTTGCAGCAAACCTGGAACAACCTTCCTCGCTGAGAGCTCTAGCACAGTCCAAGTTCATCCACGACGATTCAAGATTTTGGGGCACAACGTCTGGTGCTTCATCAATGATCCAATCATCCATTGGATCAATCTCCTCAGCCTCAACTCCGCTCTTCATACCTGCATGAAACTGCTGTAACTGCAAATTATAATGAACAAATGTAAGATATTTAAGCCGCTGTTGCTCAACAGGATTCCTTCCATTTGTTAGCAGTTTCTCCGCCATAGTCCGTTTGAGCACATATCTTAAAGCGCCATCGCAGTTCTGACTCAAAATTCGAACCGCAAACCTCTGCAGTTCAGGATGATTTTCTCCATAACTAGACCACCACATAGCTGCAATCAATTTAACATAAACTAGTTTCAAATATTGGTTTTTTACCGACCTCAAAACTACTAACGTAATGCCTAAAATTAATAGGCTATTTAAGAAAACATTCAATAGTGTTCTTGAATCTTGATTCATTTGTTTACAACTTTATAACGATATCTTATTTTACCTGGTGGAACGTTTCTTCTTCGAGTTCTGGAACTCCCCTCCTGATAACTACCTTTGCCGTGTGCATACTCCTCCAATTGACGGATAATTAAGTCTTTGATTGGCTGACTCTGGACCAGTTGTCCAAGGCAGCTCAGAAGGCCAGAAGAAACCTCGAAGTCAGGATAAAAGTCACTTGAATAGAAGAGACTCGGGTTAAGATAATAGCCAGCCGCGTGGAGAGGACTGTGGAGAACATTGTTCCATATCTCATCAACAACTTCCCAGATTGGCATGTAATCTGGTTTCTTTTTGTTGAACTCTTCCTTAATTGTCTCCTTTACTTGATCCATTGTTTCATATATGTACCCAATAAGCGGCTCGTCAGCCTCAAAGATCCAGTTTAGAATGCCAATGAGAGGCATAGCTGCGTTCAGGACCATCTCAGCTCCAGTCCAGAAAGAGCGACCCTCAACTAAATCCGCTACCCTTTTTCCCTCCACTCGTGAAGCCCAGGCTGACATGTTCCACTCAGGTGAGGAAAACATGTCTTTCAAGTTTTGCTTTTTTGATACAATGTTCTCCAAAGTCATAAAAGGCACTGCTGACCTTATCTTCGAGGGCTTAATGAGGTCGTGGCCAAGCGTATGTTTCTTCAAAAGCTTCAAAACCGCTTCGTGTCCATGAATGAACTTTGTCATAACCTTGGCCTTATCAAATATATCTCTAGTAGAGCCAATCATCCCAATGTTCTCCAATATCAGTGCAATGCAATGAGATGCACTGACGGTCCAAAACACATCTTTGCACCTACTGCTAAACTCCTTCTGCATTGTACCCGCCCAGCCAGTTGTAGTATCCGCCACAACCTGAATCACGTTTTCAATCCCGACATCCTCAATAACTCCCTCAAGTACCATATATATGGCATCGATGTCACCAACGATAGAGGAAATATCATGGGTGCAAAGATAAATCGGGCCTTGAGGGCAATTGACCAAAAAGTTAACAAGGCTTCGACCCTTCTCATCAGTCCATCCGTCCAACAAAATGCTACATCCAGTGGTTGCCCATGAATCTCTAATCTTTGTCACATACTCTTGCATCTCTTTCACTTCTTCGTCAAGTATCCAACCTCTGAGCTCATCACAGGTCGGTATTTTGTACCCCAGCTGACCAGTCCCAAGAGCAGAACGTATCATTCTTTCAAAGGAAGAAGAATTCACGCCAACAAATTCTAACCCCGTTTCATAGAAGAATCGACCAATGCATTTTTGCACTTGCCTTGAAATGATATCCCTTTTTGTTTCCCCATTGTCGCCTTGTTGTGCGCCTCTGCCTCGTTTAGTAACGGAGACATGTACTGCTGCACTATCTTCACACTCCAACTCCAACACCTCTTGGCTTTGATTCTGAAAACCGGCATTTTGAGAAGCTCCACGCTTACAATTCCTCTTCCCTGAAAGATCTGAGGTATTCAGCTCCCCGAATTCCTTTCCAAAAGTTTCTCTTTTTCTTTCGATCACATTGTTTTTCATCAGCTCCCTCACATCAGCCGGAGCACTATTACATGGTAACACATCGCCACGGATTCCTCCGATATGGTACTTCAAACGGGTGGAACCGCTCACCACCTTACCACAATAGTTGCATTGGAATTTATTTTTACTATAAAAAACTGTTCCATGATCATGAACATTGATGGTTCCACTACCCCTAGCATCCATTTTATTCAAAAAAATTGTCCAATGCCCACACCTAGGATTTCAGAAATCTAGGCCTGCAAAATCACCTCAAGATCTTTAATTTATGACCAATTTGTTGCACTTAAAAGAATTAGGCCCTAATGTTCCTCAAACATCAATGAATCATAAACTATAGTGACAATTCATATAACCCAATATACATGCAATCGATTTAAATAACCAAACTAACAAAAATAAAAGGATCAAAACAGAAAAATAACTCCTTTATGTACACCACTTAGCCACCAAGGTGGAGAGAAAATATATTTTAAATCTTGCTAGGTACTACAAAAAGAGGGGGAAAAAAGAACCATCTTTTGAGCCTCCTCTGTAAATTGTTCTCTCATACCAAAACTCAAAGATTAGGAACAAAAAGTTAAATATCTTTAGCTAAAATGCCAGTAAAATGGTATATATCATGGTAAAGCCATAACTAAGCAGGACCAAAAATAGCATTCACAAATACATACATGCAAACACATATATGTTGTCTTAAAGCAAAAAATTTAAATAAAAATGCAGAAACACAGAGGAAGATAATAATTAAATTAATAAAAAACACCATGGTAGACATACCTTGAGCTGATCAAGCAAGATTGAAGGTGGATGAGAGCTCTGATGAGAGAGAAAAAGAGGGGGGGGGGGGGGAGGGTTGATCAGGGGTGGGTTAGGGAGAACGAAATGGGACAAAATCAAAGTAACTTGGATAACGAGTGGTACACAACACACACAATGTAAGAGAGCTCTGCAGCAGTAGCTCCTTTGGTGAAAAGCTTAAACTTTCCTTTGGGTTTCTTCTGTCTCGGACTAGGAGTCGCTTTGTGCATGTTTTCTGCACCGCGCGCCACCTAGGATTGGGAAATTTTTACAACTTAGGCTTTTTTTTTTTTTTAAAGAGAACTTGGCTTTTAAACATTGATTTCTACTTCTTTTCTTTTTCCTTTTTCCTTTTTTTATGAACAATGAATTAGTTAATTACCAAGGAGAGAATTTATCAAGAGTGATGTTGGCGTGGTGTTTTGCCCCTAGCAAGTGGTAAATTGTTCAGATTCCGTCTTTTTTTTCAACTCACTACGTCTTAGTCTTAAACTATTCTCCTTCTTATTAGTGTGTCTTATAAAGTATAATATCATTCGTAGTAAAAAATCATAAATTTTCTTCCTATACTTTTTGTAGATATAATTATTTCCATTTATTCTACATTTTTAATTAAATTTTCATGCCAAGTATACCCAAGTTATTTTGTACATTAGGTGCGGGTAATACGACTAGAAGAGAAATGAATTTCTGAAAAGAAAAAAAAAATTGTGTTGAAACAAATCAATGCTGTCAGCTTAAGCGTTGAAGTCAAGTCTCGCATCTGTCATTGATAAAGGCAACCCCATTGTCACCCTCACTTCCAATGCTCTTTTGATGAAGCTGCAATACCAACTCAAGCCCCTCACAACATTATTCATCGACGGTCGTTCGATTTCTTTGTCATTTAAGCAACTTATAGCAATCTTATTGAACTTGTTCAAGCACTCGACTTCAATCTTACCCTTCGTATTTGGGACAATGATTTGACCAAATGTCCCGTCTCCTCAGATTGTTGAGTTCATACGTTATAAAACAGGAGCGAGTGGAGTGCGGGGCCCGCAACGCATGCAAGCCGCGTGTATGGTTTTGTCAAGTGCATGTCGTCACATTTTTGTTGAAAGTAGACCAGGGTTGTTGAATCCATTAATTAAAGGAAAAGAAAATGTAGTCGAGTGTGGGGTTGTCGCTAATGCATGGAGGTTATGTGTGTGACTTTGTCAGGCGAGTGACGTCAGATCTGTGTTGAAACTAAAATGTTAGGATAAATCTCAGTTTCCTACGCTCAAGTTTCGTGATTTTCAACATTTGGTACATGATCCAAAGTTATATTTAAAATGTTAATTTTAGGACAATCTCATACATCTGTTAGTCTGATTGTTAAGTATTCCGTTAACTGATAACGTGATGCCAATATGAACAATGATTGGACGCCACCCGGTCATTAAGAAGTCCACGTTGAAATTAAAATTTCAAAAATTCAAAAAAAAAAAAAAAAAAAACCCACCTGCCTTCTGCCTCCCCTCAACCCCCCTCCCTCCCTCCCTCTGCAACCCCCACCCATCCTCCATCCCTTCTCTCCTCTGCAACCCGCACCACCCTCCCTCATCTCCTCTGCAACCCGCACCACCCTCCCTCATCTCACCCCCGCTCCCTTCCTTCTTTCCTCTGCGCCCACCCAACACTCTATACCCGACCCACCTCAGTTTCATCGCCAAAGAGGTCCAAATCGTCATCGTCATCGCCTTCAGCGGCGGCAGCAACAAGGTCTACGCTTATTCCAATGTTCTGAGCTTTGATCCACTCAATCTCTTGTTCCTTCTCCATCTTCAAGTTCAACCAAAAATTTTAGTCCTTCCACATCTACAACTTCTATTTTTCGATATCGATTTCATAGTATAATAAAAGCTTCAAATTTTTTGGTAATCAAGAACTCTAAATAGAGTCAACGCAAGATGAGGACAGTGATGCAAGAGAAGGAATCACCAAGCGGCGATAACTCTGAACAGGACGGGAACCACTCATCAACAGATGTAGAGATTAAAAATCTTAAAGCAGAACTTGAGAATGTAAAGATAAAGATGGTAGAGCTGCAGAGTGACTACTCTGAACTGCAACACGAGCAGGAGTAGCAGCCTCAGCCTTGCCGCTGCTGACTCTCACTCCGGCAACCTTGTCGGGGAAGGTGGAAGCGAGTTAGGACGAAACGGCGTCGTACCACTTGCTCACATTGGCAAAGGAACCAGCGGGCTTCTCCAACACGGCGGCGTACACCTTGATGTCATCCAAAGTCATCTTGTCTCTGAGATTGGGATGAGCAGTGAATAAAAAACCAAAAATAAAGTAAAATCCATTGAAATATACAGAAAAATAAAGACGAAGAAGAAGAAGAAATTGTTACCCGGAGATGTAAGATTTGCCGGCGAGGAACTCGTCGAGGGCTTTGAGACAGGCATCGGTGTACAGATCTGAGAAGGTGATGGCCATGGCGATTTGCGAGAGAGAGAGAGTTAAGAGAGGCGGCCAAAGAGTGAGAGTAGTAGGGCGAGAGAGAGATTAGAGCTGAGATGAGGAATGGGGTTGTAGAGGAGAGAAGGGAGGGTACGGATTGCAGAGGAGAAAAGGGAGGGAGGATGGATGGGGTTTGCAGAGGAAAGAAGGGAGGGAGGGAGGGGAAGTACATGAGGGTTTTTTTTTTTTTGAATTTTTAATTTTCACATGGAGCTGGCATCTAATCATTATCCACATAAGCGTCACACTATCAGTTAACAGGAAATTTAATGACAAGACTAACGGATGTATGAAATTGTCTTAAAATTAACACTTTAGTATGATTCTGGAACGAAAAAAACTTCATGTATCAAATGTTGAAAACCACAAAACTTGAGGTTAATAAACTGAGATTTACCCAAAATTTTAATTTTGAGTCCACAGTTCAAAAGAAGATTAAGCCGGTAAAGTCTAGGGCTCGCAACTAACACATATTAGTAGATATATAAACAGATCGGTTTGGAACAATTTTGAACCATATTCATATCCATATTCGTTTCTAATCGTAATATCAGGTCCTGATTGTATTCGACTCTTCAAAATCTGACTTGTAATCCTTAGCATCGAATTTAAATCGGATCAGATTCTTATCGAATTTAATTTAAAACCTAAAAATATTAAAATACTATTGATTACTTTATTCACTATTTATATTTATGTTTTTAATTATTAGAAATATATGTTGTATATAATATTAAAAGAAGGATATAAGTGTACCTGGCTGGAATGCACATAAAACTAAAATTATTATTACACACACATATAATTAATATGAAATAGTATAAAAATCAAATGATATGTTATATAGATCTAATAATTATCTAGATCAGAACTGTTTGTACTAGAATTACATTGGATTCGAATCACATCCGCACTAAATTTGATCAAGTGACATGTCTACATTATTTTATCAAGCTAGGGGTGTCACATTGCCAGAAAATAGCGCTTGCCCTATAAAAACTTGCCCGACAAACATGTTTTTGTCAGCTAAAACAACTTTACTCGACGAAATATTCTTTGCATAAGGGCTAATCTGGTCAACAAGCAGGGTTAACTAAAAACCTTTGAGAGACGGACAACATTTGTAGGGCAAGAAAATATTTGTCGGTCAAGATTTTTACGCCAAGAGAAAAAAAAAATGACGCAGTGCATTCAGGTTTGCGGGACGAACACTTGCTTCGTGGGCTAAGTAACCTTTGCACGACGCTCACTTTCGTCAGCTTATAATTACAATTTGTTGGCAAAGGACGATGATAAATATAGATGCAAATTTCTTCCTCCTTGATCTTGGACAATTTTGCACCTACAAAACAATTAACACCTTAGGTTAAGACCAAAAGTCTCATGCGCCCACGATGAATGGGGGGCTTTGGCCGAAGAACCTCCGATGCCAAAGTTAGAATTTAGAGAGAAAGAGTGTTTAGAGAATTTTAGAATTTTTGCCAAAATGTTGGAATTGGCTTTTTTGGTGAGAATGAAAGTATATTTATAGGGATAGGAGGTGGCTAGGGTTTTTTGGGTTTAATTTAGGTTTAATTAGGAGTTACAAAATTGATTATTTGTATAAATGGGGTAATAAAATGGAGAACAGTGAAAAAGGTTAGGAAAAGGGAGGTGGCCGGCCTCTTAGTAGTTTTAGGTGTAAATGGGTGTTTTATTTGATAATTAAGGGATTGATTAGGTAATTCATTCCTTAATTAATCAATTTTTAAGGGAATATGAAAGGAAAATATCATTTAGCTAATTGATTAGCTAAATAATGGAATATAAAATATATAGAATAAATTAGGTTTTAGGAATTACCTTATAGAAAGGATTTGATGAAATAGGCTTTAAATTGTTACCTATTTTGGGCACTTTTGACTTGGTTTAGGGATGATTGCTCGTTGTTTAGGAATCCCAGTA